TTGCTCATCCTGGAACATGATGTGGTCTCTTCTCTCACATGATTGATTTTTTTTCTTTCAAATTCCCAATGAGCACCTGGCTTTTTTACCAAATTGAAATGTATTATAAGCTCAACAGAGGGACTGGATGGCAGATTTTAAAGATGGAAAGAGAAGAAAATCTTGTTCATTTTCAGAAGTATGGCAAAGGGGGAATAGCAATTTTTGAAAGAATCTTTAAACTTTAGGACATTTTTATTTTCTTTCTTTCATTTCCTTTACTATGGGGAGGGGGACGTGGCCAGTGTCTCTTTGTAGGGTTCTTTCTGTCCAAGGGAATCCAAGCCACCCTAAAACTTATAATCTAGATAATTAGCAAATAACAAAGCATAAATACTTATAAATATATATTTATAGGAAATGAAGCCCCTGATAGATCTAGTCCACATGGGTTCTGGAACTAGACAAAGGGAAAATGGCTCTGATAGTTTATTTAAAGGGGTGCATCAAAGGCAGGGATAAGATTTCAAGGGCAGAGTCTTGCTTCCTGATGTCTTGCACTCAGCAGGTTGATTGACATCTTGGCAGGTCACATCCATCTCAGGTGCAGTGTGGAATCTTTGGCAGAGTTTTAGGGGGAAGTTCACCTACACCAGGCCGTCAGTCCCTGGGAGGGTAGTGGCCACAGGGAGTTCCCAATGCCAGACTTATCCCCTCAGGAGGCTACTAAGTGCAACAGTCCACACACAGCCCATGGACGGCTTGTGACACTTTACAATGCTTAGGTTGATAAACATTGGGCCTCCTTTGGTGATACTTTCAAGTACCTTCTGCTGAAGCATCATAATCTTTTCTACCCTTGCTGCTGCTGCTTTCCCACTTTAGAAAATATTCCTTGATCCAGGATGAGGCTAGAGAGTTGACTCATCTCCTGCAGAAGGTGAAGATTGGGAAAGCTGTCTCCTCCCTTCTCATCCAGCATGTCAAGAACACAGTAAAGACCTTTGAGGGGCTACTCACCAATAACAGCATGGACCACTACATGGAGCAGCACTTCCGTGAACATCTGGCCAAGGGAAGCCAGTTGGCAGAGAGCCTTGCCAGCAAACTCAGCACTGGTAAGTTGGTCACAGAGTTTGGGAGGACCTTCAATCCCTCCTGTGATCCTAGACTAACACAAGCTCATACCCATCCACAAGTGACTTTTTAACCTGGTGTGCTGCTTGGTAATTACCAAGTTGGGGCCATGACAGAGTCAGGACAGGCAGGTAAGGAGTTCTGAGAAGAAACACATGGGGTCAAAGATGTCACGATGATCACCAGCACCTCCATCCCTCATGGAAAGTGGCTTTCCGGGTAGGAGGTATCTCTAGGGTGAAGGGATTTATCTGAAACTAAGTGGCAGAAAGAAAGAAGGAATAGGGGCAGCTGGACGTTGATAAGGGCCTTGACTAGGAGTTCAGAGGCCCTCACTCAAGCTTGAGTGTCTATTACTAGTTCTGGACAGGATAATATTTCTTTTTGTTTGTTTTCTCACCTAAAAACAGGTCAAATACCACTAGTTCCCAAAGGCTGCATGATTGTTCAAAAAATGGTCAATCATCCTGCTGATTTGGGCATGAGTTAGACACTGTATGTACTAGGACCAGGTGGTGGGAACATTAGTTATTTGGGGAGCCTTTTACATAGAATTTTCCCTAGAGCATCTGAAGGCTGCAGTAACAGCAAGTTTGCGGCCACTGTACTGGGACACACAGAGGTAGGACAGGGATATGATCTCCTCAGAGAAAGGAGTAAGTTCTGCATGAAAGCTGTGATGGGACACAGCCATGGGACTGAGGTAGGACTGTGGCAGGACTTGGAGGCTCTGGCTGGAGTGGTCCAGAGGCTGGCTGAGCCGTGTCCTGTGGTCTGTGTGGAGGGGGTGGCGGGTGGCTGGAGATGGCAGGGGTGGGGGGTAAGGAGATATTTTTAGCCTTGAACTATGATTCAGGGCAGAGCAAATGGAGATGACGATCTTTGTGGTAAGCTCAGGAAAACCTGTGGGGGAAGCTCCAAGATGTCCTAGGAAAAGTCAGAGAATCCTGGACATGAATGTCAAGTCAGCCACGAGTCTGATCCCAGATGGAATCCAGTGTTTGTAATCTTGGAAATGAGACCTGCTTAATTTTTGACTGGGCCTTGTTGAATTTATTTTTCAGATGACTATACAAGTAAGAAGACTCAATCAGGACAGGTATCACAGACCCTCAGGTAACTCCAAATTTTCAGGATGAAAGATGTAATCTGGTGAAGAATTCTAAAGCAAGGGCCAGAAGATCAGAGGAACAGGGGCTCTCATACCCAGTTGAAAAACAAATGGCTTATTATTTATTATTTACTTACTCATCAAACCATTGTGTATGCTTAGTGATGAGATGGTCTCATTTTCTTTTCTTTTTTTTTTTTTTTAAGTTATCCTTCTCTTCTCTTTGGTTCCTATTATATAAATTCACCAATTTAGTAATATAGAGTTGCTAGTTCTTAGGAGTTTCCCAGGCCCCTAGGGATCACCTCTGTTTTCCCCTGGATGTTTAAAGATCAGAGTAAAATTATATTTGGTTTCTTCAAGGGTGACCAAGGAGACCTGACAGATGTCAAATAGCTATAAATTTTCCTTGCAAACTAAAGTTTATACTGTGTCTCAATATTTAGAGAAGGAGGTCTGGAAACTATAAGATACCTGGGAGATTGCATAGCCTCTGAAACCATTTTTAAATAGGCCACTGCAAATACTATTTAACAGATTCAGTTCACAGAGTGAATTGAACGTTATGGGCTTCTGGGTGTCTTGTGATAAAAGCATGAGTATTATTATAAAGGCCCAATGAGTCTTTTCTCTTCTTTAAGATGTTTATGGTCAATGTACTGGATAACAGTTGTTCTGCCTGACCCTCAGTGTCCTTCCCCCTACCACCCATCCTGCTCTAAGGCAGAAATGAATCATTGGGCTTTTTCTATGAAGGAATTATGTCCTCACCTCTCCTGGGCTTCTTCTGCGAACCTCCAAATCAATACAGCTGTGGTTTTCAGGTGACTTTTATTTTTCTTTTCTTTCCCCTGCAGTATCTTAAGGGAGATACAGAAAAAGCGTAGAATGATGGAAGTCCTAGCAACCAGGGATGGTACCCAGTCGCAGACTCAGCCCCAGATCCAGGCTAGAGGCCTTGCCCCACGTGCTGCCCATCATCCTCTCAGCAGCACCTCCCCCCTGCTTAATGAGCAGGAAGTGCATCCTACAGTGAATGTAGCCAGTGAGTACCTAAGTAGCCTCCAATGTGGGGCACTCACACAAGGTCTAGGCCAAGAGGAGGCATCTTTGCTGCCAGGCCCTGTAATCCAAGGTACTGTGATATGCCTTTTTGAGCACAGCTCTGGGATTCAATACCAAGTACAAGCCCCAAGAGTCTCAGGCAGCTTTTTTTCATTCCTAGTCTCATATGCTATCACTCAGTAGACCCCCTCTGACATGTACACGGTGTTGGACTTGGTGGGGGGTGGAGGAGTACAAATTGGGATGCTGATGGAGGGGATAAATGCAACACAGCCATGTCATCTTCCTGACCAGGCTAACACTGTGTCTAGGATTCTGGAATTCTTGGGGTAAAGAGACATGGTTCCTATTTTCTATTTTACCCCTAAATATTCCTCATCATTCATTGTGGATTTTTGATCCCATCCTTTTTTTTTTGTGAAGGGTTTTTGTTTGTTTAATACATCTGAAAAGAATGCATATACAAAGAATTGAGATGGGAAAAAGCATTGGTTCAACACTAATGAATCTACAAGTTTTAGGATTTGGGGAAGGTGGAAAAAATTATCTAAACATTTTTAAAAACTGGAAACTGCAACCAAATAAGCTGAAAAACAAATCCCTATTAACACTTATGAAGAGTCTCCACAAGACTCTTGCCATGATTTTCATTAAAGAATATCAGTGGGCTAGGGGGGCCTCATACCCAAAACAGAAATAAGGGGATTCCCAACTGGTCAGTCCTCTTGTTGGTAAATGTTCTCCCACCCCATCCACCACCAGCTTCTTCATGAAGCAGGCCCACATCCTCAAACCTGAAAGGATGCCAATCATCCTGCAGGCATCTGTCTTCTAGCACCACCCTTCACAGTTCTTCTATGTGCCAGGTCTTCAGCTGGGTTCTAGGACCACCACACAGTGAGTTGCAAATCTATGCTAAGTATATAAAACAATGACTGACAGGGGAAAATTTGTTTTTTAATTACAAACCAAATTCATTTGGTGTATTTCAAAAGGTGCAATACTTTTCTTCATTTATCAATGAAAGAAATTAGAAATGAACCCCCCCCCCCCAAAAAAAAAAACAAATAGCAAACAAATTTCCTTGAAAGTCACAGTCACATACAGAGTGCATCCTAGAAAAGAGGAGGGGCAAGACAGCTTCCACCCATTTTCATGAATTTCATCAAATACTGGATCTACTCAAGGGTGAAGAGAAAAGGCAACTTTCAAAAAGGAGTATATTATTAAATGAGGCATTTACTATACTCCTTCCTAAGAGCACCACGTGGGGAACACATTTTCTAAACTAGATCTAGGAAGTAGAATGTGGAATCAATTTGTCCTCCTCTCCTAAGGGCTGTCCATCAGTTAATTAAAAAAAAAAAAGACTAAAAATGAACCCCACATACACCCCCACACACACCAAAAAAGGGGTGGGTGGGCAAAAGTGTCCAAGATTACTCATTACTCTCCAGGTTGGAACCAGGGAATGGCTTCAACAAATTAGTCTGTTACAAAGTCATCACAAGCATGCCTTGCTTTTAAACAACAACAAAAAAAGGGGGGGGGGGGGGTTCTTTTTAAACAATAAAAACTAGTACTTATCACTTTCTGACAATACACAATTACTCAAAATTAACTAGTATGGCAGGGTGCGGGGGGCATACCCATGGGCCTTGTCTCACATGAGTACATGTGGGTAGGTGCAGGGCATTGTCATTATTGAAGAAACGAATTTTAATTTTTAATCTTTAGTTTGATTTAAACATTGCTTTTAGTATGATGCCGACACCAGCCGTGCAGAAAGGACTCTGAAGAGATGTTCATAGCAGCACACACCTGCGGCTCTTCTTTGGTTCTGGAGGCTCCAGGGCAGCCAATATTGCTTCATCAAACACATTCTTTAGGCCTTTCTGTGTGAGTGCAGAACACTCCACATACTTGACAGCCTTCAGATCACTGGCCAGCTTTTCAGCAGTCTCTGGAGTGATAGGCTTCTGTTTGTTCTTGGCAAGTTTCTCAATAGTAGATGGGTCATCTCTGAGATCAATTTGGGTCCCGACAAGCAAGAAAGGAGTCTTTGGACAGTGGTGAGTTATCTCAGGCACCCACTTTTCTTTCACATTTTCAAATGAGGATGGAGAGACCACTGAAAAACAGACTAGAAACACATCTGTTTGTGGATAACTCAGCGGTCATAATCTGTCATAATCCTTTTGCCCTGCAGTATCAAAAAGTCCAAGAGTATATGGCTCTCCACCAATCATAACTGTGACTGCATAGTTGTCAAAAACAGTTGGTACATACTCGGATGGAAATTTGTTTGTTGTGTAGGATATCAGGAAGCATGTTTTACCAACAGCACCATCGCCCACAACCACGCACTTTAATTGTCTGCATTGTGGAAATAGTTTGTATCTACTTTAAATATTTCAAATTTGATGACCTAGCTTCTCTGCCAGGGCTTTGGCAGCGCTGCGCGGGATCTCCTCGGCTCCCATCCAATATTCTAATAATTCTGCTAATCCATCTGTAACTGGACATCTAATGATGTTCAAGATGAGTCTGTCACCAACCACATCAGCATGCCCTTCCCTAGATTCTTCTAGGAATGCCATTGGGGTGGGCTTGGTAGGGAAAGGAGGAAAAGAGTAACTAGTTTTAAGTCAACCTTTAATTTTCTTCCCAGTTTTCTCTTTAATTTCCCTAATTGGAAAAGTATTTAAATTTTTAGGCCACTATATTAGTCAAATCATGATGTGGTCAACACCAAGAAGTCTTTCTTAGTCTCTGGATATATCTGATCTACTTTTCCAGATTGACTATTTTAGGCAATGAATGAATTTTAAATGGTTTTAATCTGGTACTATTCCTGTTTTTTCATTTCACCCTGAAAAGCAAAGCAGTAAAATATTTACCCTAAGATTATAGTATAAAGAAAAGACAGGAAATTCACATTTATCAAGCATCTATTATGCTCACATTTCTTACCACTATCCATTTGTTGTCCCATTTCATTGGCACAGTGATCCCCTCAAGTAGGTGGTGGTATACCAGTCTTATAACTGAGAGCACTAAGGCCCAGCAACATTGAGGAACTTACTAAAGACAACCCAGCTTGAGGTAACATTCACTTCAAGTGCACCTGACTCTGAAGGGCAGGGACTATATACTGCACTTTGCAGTGTGAGCAACCAAGGACAAAACAGGGAGGGTACTCACTCCTTCTCAGAACCTCTTTTGCCAGGCTTCAGAGCCATTGTTTTCCATGTTCCACTCTTTCTACCCAACACAAAGTTATAGTCTCTACAAATGGGTCAAGACTCTACATATAACACTTCTTGCCCTTGGTACGTACATGACCTACTCCAAGGGGAGAATGGGAGTTTTATTTTCATCCTAAAACTTGGTTACTCAAAGGCACATTGTTCAACTTCAGCACTATCCTGGGAGATGGCAGAAAATTAAGGACACTTTTCTCTTACTTGCAAATCCCTGCCACTATTTTCAGTAAGTGAGATATCACCTCTGGAGTGATTCTCCCAAAGAGCATCATTACTTTCTACTACCTCTACCTTTTCTGAGGGATACTGAAAGCCTTTCCCTTCCATTTGAAGTTATCCTAACAGAGAAACAATTGTTTATCACTTTTCCTTTTTTGTTTTTTTGAGCCAAATTTATAAAACAGTCAAGCAATAATCCTGCTGGCATGGCAGCTACACTGTAGGCTAAATTCCCCCTCACAAAAGTCTGGTAGTGCACATTCCTTGAGTTGAATAGCCAGGGGAGGGTGGAACATGAAAACTCTGACCACTGTGATTGACAAACTTGGAAACTCCTACGATCTTGGTTAAGAGTCAGCTGATTTTCTGAATAAAAGACATTTAAAAGAGATGGGGAATCACATTTTGATTGAGTTCCTACTTTCAGTGAGGCATTGTGTTAAAGGTGTACTGATTTCCCAAACACTTTATTTCACAGTAATTCTAATTAGTATCTGAAAAGTTTTAAATTAGGGGAGGGGATATTTATTTAAATATATCGTTCCCTAAAGGAATTTGGCTTGGCTTAGGACAAACAGAGACCTCACTCCTATATACTCAGGGGAGAAACCCTTCTAGTTGATGGCCTTTGGTAATGATCCTTGAAAGGGGGAAGATTATTCTTTTCTCTGAATTATGTCCCTGCCACCCCAGCTAATTTTTTCCCTCAGAGGGAGACAGTAATGAAGGATCCAAATGACATGACCATGTTCTCAAAGTATTTTCTGATTCTACAAATCCCCCTCCCCCATAAGAGTATTTAAGTCATTCTTTAGACAGGTTCCAGCCAATGTAAGCTATGTTTAAAAATTATTTTTATAGTGTTGTGAACCATTTTGGCCAGGATCCAAGTCCCTCAAAGACTCCCTCAGCTTCAGTGTAGGTTCAGAGTCAGCTGAGGCAGGAGTGGTGGGAGCCACCAGGAACAGAAGCAGTGCTGTTCTAGTTCTCTTCATCCTGGCTCCCATTGCTCCTTCATTTTCCTGCAGCTCCAATATAGAACAGTCCCATGAAGGATCAGCAGACGTGTTGCTGGTGAGGATATAGACTGTTAGGTGAACACTTACTTGTGCACAGACTAGCAAAATGTTTATCCCTTCACTTTCTTGACTCCTAAAGATTGGCAATGAGTTCTACTATTGGAGGAGACATTTATGAAGTACCTCCCTGGGATCATTCCAGCATTGAGAATCCTAGAGGCAGCTAAGAAAGGGGCCACTGGACAATTCTTGGATATGTTCTTTGACCTTCAGATATTACATCCAGTCATTTCTTTTTGATGTCCTCGGCTAGGAAGTGCCAATAACTTTAGGATGAAAACTATAGCCCTTGGGAAATGTGTCTTCATCTAACTGACATTCAACAGTAGGCTTGGAATTACTGATGTCTGCTTCATCTTCATTCCTTGGAATACTTTGTTAGTTTTCTAGGGCTTCCACAACAAAGTACCACAAACTGGGTATCTTAAAACAACAAATTTATTTTCTTGCAGTTCTGGAGCCTAGAAGTCTGAAATCAAAATGCCAACAGGAGCATTCTGCCTCTGAAAGCCTTGGGAAAGAATCATTCCTTGCCTTTTCCTAACTTTCGGCAGTTTCTGGGAATGCTACTTTGCTTCTAGACATATCACTCCAATCTCTGACTCTCTTGCCTTGTGGACTTCTTCCCTGTGTTTATGTAGCAAGAATGACCTGAAGTTCACTATAATAGAAAGTCCACTGATGGGAAAAGATAGAGAAGTTTTAGAACTCCTTTACTCCCTTAGAGACTCAGAACAGAAAAAACTTCATGTATGGAAAAGTGGCAGGATAAAAACTATTTTAGGTGAGGACAATTTACTAGACCCAGGTAAGCTCCCATTCAAGAGAATGACAGAACCTGCTTCTCAATGTGGGAAACTAAGAAGATCAATCAGAGTTGCCTCATGGCTGGAAAACAGCAATTGTCAAAATTCCAAAATGATAAAGAGAATATATATTTTAATATTTGTAGGGAGAGCAAATTTTGATATTTTGTAAACTAAGAAGAGATTTATGTAATTAGATATTATAGAAATACCTAAAATGATGGGCACAAGTAACTAGAATGGCTCACTAAGAGCAAGTTAAGCCACATCACACTGAATTAGAGTGTCAAAGATTTGCCAGGAAGCTAAGTCAAGGGAAAAGTTAGGCCCATATGCTTTACATTGGTCATGGTATAACTTGGTTCTAAGAATAATTCTGGATGCCAACTTTTTTCTAAGAGATAGGTTTAATTAGAGTTTTCAAAAGATGATAAAGGAATATTTTATGAAGTTACCTGAGAAGACTGTATTATTATAGTATCTTTAAATGTTTGAACAATTACCATGTGAAACTGAAATCAGTCTTTGTCTATGGAGTTGGAAGCCAGAATTAACACCAGTGGGTGAAAGTGATGTGGAAACCTAAATGGACTTGTTGAAGAGAGTAATCTCTACAAAGTAAAACTGTCCAATGACAGACATACCATGCCTCATTGTGCAAAGAGCTCCATTTGACCTTGGAAGAATTCAAGGCCAGAGCAAAAGATGTCTCCTCATGAGAAATGTCTTGGAGGGAGTTCATGAAAGGAGAACTTGCTGGACCTGAGGAACAAAGTGTAGGATTTCTGTGATTCTTCAACTGAAATCCATGACTTGGTCTTTTATACAAATAGATATATTGCATAGTTTTTTATATGCTTGTTTTTATTGGATTACCTTTTTTGATGTTCTCACAAAGGTCCTCATTACCATTTTAACAACTCCCACACCTCTCTTTAACCTCCCACAAATACACTTGATCTATTTCCCTGGTGCCTGGGCACTAAACTCAATTTCCTGAAATTCAAACATTAGTCTTATTTCATTGCACTCAGAGAAGTGCAGGTCATCCCAGGGACCATTACTTGGCTATGTTGACCAGCTCTATCTCAGATACTGAAGGGAAGTGGTTCCTGCTTCACTTTGCCTTTGATCTTAGTGCCAGCCTGGGTATGACTGGGTTGACCTTCTAGCCGACAGACAATTTTGGAGTATTGAGAATTTTGCCCCCTCCTTTATCTGCCATCACAGTCAGGACTCTATAGAGAACTTCAAGAAGACAAAGTTCCTAAGGAGGCTCTGGGATCCTCTCAACCCACCTTCAAGAGCTCAGGTTGAAAGTTGAGCAAAAGAAGGTAGAGCAACAGAAGTGTTCATAGAACTGGAAAGAGAAACAAGAGGAAAATTTGTATTTATGGGAGGAATGTCTGTCCTTCCAGAAGCACTTAAAATAAAGTACACTGCCCCCCGCCCCATGAGCTGAAAGTGACTAGAGCAAAACAGTAGTTGCCTATTTATAGGCTCCAATATATTCAACTATGGGATACAGACCTAGGCCTCATTGGAGGAGTTATATAATATAAAAGCTGTGTTTTATAGTATTATACTAAAACAAATTCTAACATCTTAAGAACATCTGGATCCAAAGATTCAAAGCAGGTACCATGTTGGCCTCTATTAAATTACTCACAGCTACTTGTCCCCACAATAGCACTAGGTTCTGGGTTTGCCACTACTCACAGTTTTGGTTTAGGTTTTAGGTTTGGGCAAACAATGTAAACTCTCAGGTATTTACAATAGTCTCAAATTCCTCATCTGTATAACTATAATGAAATCCACCTCATATGGTAGTTGGGAGCATTAAATGAAATAGTTTATAGAGTTCTAAGCAATACATACACAATATATTTAGGTATCTATATCATGTGTTTTCGGGTGCTTTAAAAATGCACAAACCACATTATTTCACCTGATATACATTAACTTTTTGTGTTTTCCCTCCTTCTGGACTCAACCATTCTTGCGTTCTCAGGAGAGCATCCTTAGTCCTTTGCTTCCTCTCTCAGTATTCCTTTTCAATCTAATCTCTCTTGACTTAAAAAAGAATGTAGATACTACCTTCAGTAATCCAATTTCCTAACATATTTAACCTCTAATTTAAAAAAATTTATATATATATAATCATTCCTGTCCTCCTGGGCTTCCACAATATGAGCCAGCCTTTCTGTCTCAGTCACTGTCAGCATGCTCACCTACCATGCAGCCTTGAGCAAGGAACCATGCCTTATTTATCAGAAAAAGGATAGTTTTAATCAAGATGGTGTTAAGATGGTTTCCCTTGTGAGATCAGCGTACAACTGTCCTTGCCTTCTTTTTAATTTGAAGCAGGTTCTTGCTCAGTTGCTGAGTCATGAACTTGTGATCTTCCTGCCTCAACCTCCTAAGCCTCTGGGGCTACAAGCATGCACCCTCACTCCTGGCTTTAAAATCCATCTCTAAGATTATACTTTCTATGGGCTGCTCATTGAGTGGTATATTCCAAAAATATGTGTTATACAACAGTGATAAATGAATGAATAATTCATTTATTTATCAGTATCAATTACTATGACCAAATTTACCTTTAGATTAAATACCACTTGGTGTTCAGTGTGAGAAACCCTCAAAAAGAAAGCCCCAAGTAAGTCAGCATTGAACAAGACCTCGGGGAAGATAGAGGAAGGAAGTTCAGAGGAAGAAATGATGAAAATCTGAGTTACTCTGTGCTTGAGTTCGGACTACATCTGAGCTTCTCTGAGCACAGGGTTCCAGAGGAGGAATTTCAGAGAATGATCACTCCATTGCATTATTCCAACATTGGACAAGGTGAGAAATATAGGACTGGCCTAATCTC